GACTGTTTGCATGGAAGAGTTGGGGATGTCGGTGTGTCGTGCTAAACGTGTTTGGAGGTGGAAACTTCTTAAGATTACTTCTACATATGGTGTCGTTATGCGGCGAACTGATCCCAAAAACGATGCAGTCGTAACTACACTGGGCGCTCTCGTGGTTGGGATTACCAAGCGGTTGGACATGAGCCAAGTTCGGAAATATCCGTGTGAAACGCCGGATTCGAAGAGAGCGCCACCCTAACCCACCCACACGTGCCGGGGACAACCCCATATTTCACCCTGTTTTCTATCGCCACTCTACCTTGAACAATGACCCTCCTGATCATCCCGCCCGCTAATCCGGCCCCCTCCAGGGGTGGCGGTCAACTGCATGCTGTATATGTTCCAACAGCACTACCTGGTTTGTTGCTTGCACGTTGCTCGTTGATGGTCATGTTGACGGGTATGTAGGTGAATTCATTGAGGCACTCAATGCTACTAGGTCGACATGGCACAGGATTATTCGAGAGACTATCAAGGTGTATTGCACGGGTCTTTACGCTCGAGTTGTCGACTACCACCGAGACGACGGGCCTAATGCTCACGCCGATAACAGGCCCGACGACAGTGATGATGTCATACGCGCGAGCCAGATACTGGCCAGTCAAATGGACGATAACACGGCGGTGAGGAGGCGTCGACATATAGAGGCTATTTCGGCGATGGGATCACGGCACAGTGATGTCGCAAATCTTAAATTCCTGACGGCATTTGGTCAATGTGACGTAAATGTATGGGGGTACGTGTTTCAAACGTGGTTTTATCGATGGGCAAAAAACTGGGCTGGTGTACGTACACGACCGCGACAGGAAAGATGACACGTCCAGGCGCTGGTATTGTTTTTTCACGCTGTAGCGCCGTGTGAGCGAAGCTGGCATCGATATACAAACACGAGTACTTATCGTACAGGACTGTACGTGCCTAAATATTTTTTTTGGCAGATCGAGGTTTGTATTTGTTGCAAGCGGAAAAGTCTGTACTTGTCAAGTCTCTCTCTCTCTCTCTCTCTCTCTCTC